GAGTCCAGGACATGGCAAGGGAGGGTGTGTTCCCATACCACTGTGCTGGCTCCATAAGGGACACAAGCCTTGGAAACTGCAGGGGGTGGGGGCCCCTGGGGAAACAAAGGCCAGACCAGACAGTCCCAGGGCAGGGACACTTCCTCAGGCAGCCATTAGGAAGGAAGTGAACACAACCCAGTGGAAGGGAGTGGAAGAGCACTGCCCTGACCCCCATTGTTTCCAGCTTTGGGGTCAGCTGGGGCAGGCTGAACGCAGGGAGTTCCCCCACGCTGGGACTGTGGTGACGGGAGATGGGATGCCATCTGGCATGGCAGAACCCTGGCCCTGCGGCAGTAAGGGGGAGAACGGAGGATGACATGGCTTTATGTCTGGCATCTTTTCAGGAAAGTGGGAAGGTGCCCAAAGAAGAACTACAAAGGCTGCACAGGATGATCCTGCTCCGGATGTGACAAATTTAAGCCTCCGAAAGACTGGCAGGCCAACTCCCCAGACCCAGAAGCCTGTGTCCCTGAACTCCCTCTTCCCTAACTGGAAGTTGGGCTGATGGCCAAGGGCCAAGCCTAGTAGGGAACAAGCCTTCTAGAAGGACCTGAAAAGAGTAGGCTGAATGTACACAGGGGGCAGCTGGAGGTGAGAACACAGGGCCAGCAGGGAACAGGTGGGTGAGTTCTGCCTGATGGAACAGAAGCCCCAAACCCACTCTCCTGGTGGTACCCACAGGCACTCCTGGGAGGAAGCAGGTGGGTTTGGGCTACATAGCCTGGCAGTAGGCCAAAAGCATGGTGGCACCCATCTGATTGCTGTCCACTTAAGATGGGTCTTGGAGGTCCATGGGGTTCATGTTGTGACTTCCTGTGGGGTCAGCTCACATGGCTGGGGGCATGACAGCTGTTCCAGAACTACCTGAGGTCATGCTCTCACCTCAGGTCAGGCAGATGGGGCCAATCCCTAGTGAAGCACCCCAAAGGCTTCCAATTCCATGGGTCCCCACCTATTAGACACAAGAGAGGAGTGGCCTTCCATTCTGAGGGGCCCTGCAGTGAGGGCTGTGTGAATACACTGCCACCTGCTGGTCACAGCTGGGATGGCCACAAGCTGGGCTCAGGCTTACTCCGAGTCTTGATGATAAAGATGGGAGCCATCAGAGTGGCCCAGTCTAGACCTTGGATGTCACAGCAAATGCCACTCTTGTATGCAGGGTCTACAAATAATTTTATTGGAACTAAACAAATAACACAACAGCCTTCTTAGATTGGGGGCTGCCCTTCCCAAGCCATTTCCCATACTCTTAAAAGCACAGAGCTTGCACAGTAAGGAATTAAAAAAAAAAAGTCATTTTGATGTAGAAATCAGACTCTGTCCCAACATCATGGACTAGACTATTTACAGGCTTTCACATTTTAAGTATTCCTTTATGGTTGATCTCTCCTTCCTGTCTCTACCCAGGGGCTCCAGTACCTTCCATTGACTGATCCTGGGGGATGAGTATACTGTAGGGAAAGGGGTGGTGGGCTCCTCACAGCTATTGGCACCAGCCCTAGGGGTGCTGTCCCTCACCAAAGGGTGGCAGATGGTCTCCTCCCTGTGGCAGGGGTGTTGGGGGGGGCAGGGGAGCTGGTACAAAGGCAAGGAGGATTAGACAAAGTAGGTGGGTTGGGGCAACTCCCCATAGGCACAGGCATCATAGCCCTTCCTGATCCCATCTTATGCCCTCTCAACTGGGGGTGTGTGTGTGGGGCAACAAGTAGTTGCAGTGCGGAGGGATCAGTCCAGCCCTGGGTGGAGGGAGAATCCTCCCACACCAGTCCCATCTCCTATTAACAGCCAGAAAACTGTCCATCCATCTGGGAGTGGGAACAGATGAGCAGGTAGGCAGGAAGAATCAGGCTTGCACTGCCCCCCACCTCTGTCCAACACAGGAGGAATCGAGGTAGCAAACGGCTGAAATGCTCCAACAAGGGGTTAAGGGAAATGAGGGAAAGGAAGTTCCCACTTGCATACAGTTCCCACAGCCCAAGGGCTGGAAGAAGGCAGACCTTGCTTGTAAAGTGCTGTAGCCCCTAGCAGGGCTGGGCCCTACACAAGCTTGGAAGAAAGCAGGCTAGGCAAGGGTGCAGGAACCAGGCATTCCTGACCAGCATATGCCCTGCCATGCTCCTTGTAGGGAATGCTGGGGAAAGTGGGCTGGTAACTCTGCCATTAGCCCTCGCCAGCCGCCAGCCACCTCGTCCACATATAAACCAACACCCAACCAACATTGCAGGACTGCCCTGCTCACAGCTGAAGTTTCCAGGCCAATGCAGTTTATTCAGGGTTGTGGCCCCAGCTTAGATTCCTTAATGGAAGCCACACCTTGAGCCTGGGGGTTTCTTGCTGGGGTAGGGAGTGCTTATGCCTGCCACTCCCCAGGCTCACACCTCATAGAGGATCACAGGAAAATCCACGTGGATGCGGGGAGGATCCAGCTTCACGATGCCCTGCCATGGAAACAGAAGCTAGTGAGGGCCAGCTCCTCCCCCAAGAGCCCCCACCATGACAGCAGACCACATGTGGGTCTACCTCCACACACTCAACATACGCCCTATGACCACTGCCCGGCCCCTCACCTGAGGAATCAGGTTCTTATGCACCCGCCTCAGCTTGGCCCGCTTCTGCCCGTTCTTGGTGACGATTGTCTCCTCGTAGAACTCGTGAGCCAGATCCCCATCCTCATCATAGAACATGGAGCTGTGTGGAGAGAGAGGGAACGGGCTGGGCTGGAGCCCCACACCCGGTCATGGCAAATAACCAGACTACAGGGAAGTGTGCCCACCTCCAAATGGGGAGGAACAACCTTGGTGGGAGGGAGAGAGGATAATATGCCTGAAGAATCCCTTGTTTAGGGCTTGGGGTCTACTAGAAGCAAGTGGGGAGTGGGATGGTAGCCAGCGCTACTCTCTCAGTCTCCAAGAAGAGAGATCATATCAGAGCACATTGTCACGGTAGCCAACTTCAGTTCTCATCACTGGTGTGTTCAGCAAAAGTAGCCATTCCAACATCAGGTCCTTGCCTTCACCCAAGACTTCTAGAGTGGGCAGCATGATGGCCTGGGCATGTGTCTCACTCCAGAAGATGCTGCTGGCCCTGGGCCAACCTGAGATGGCAGATGCCTGAGCTAGGAGGGAGCCTGAAGAGAAAAAGGCTGAATCCTCCCCACCCACCCCAGGTGGCTGGTGTAGCCAAACTACCACTGTTGGGTCTCCCGTGTATCTACAGCCAAATCTCCAGTATCACCTGAGTACCATTTCCCTGGGCCCACCAGGGGCAGGCCAATAGTGCTCCTGTCTGGACCCGTGGAAAGAGAAGGGAGGTCAGGGCTCCAGATCTGCAGAACATACCTGGGTGAGGGTCTTTTTTTACCCAGGTTCCATCCTCAACACTAGGGCCCAGTCCTACTTTCCTGGCTACTACCCTCAGAGGTCCAACCCCATCACGGTGGGGAACGGAAACAGCCAAAACAGGGTTAATTCTTCCCTCAGAAGAACTGGGGGAGAGGGAGGCTAAGAGCCTTCAACTTTCATGCTGGGCAGGAAGGGATGAAAGAAAAAAATCCTGAAGTCGCAGGGAGGCTCTCTGTCAGCTTTACCGTGCAGAGGGCCTGCCCATGGACAAGCCTCAGGCCCACTCTTCCCCTAGGGGGGCCTTCAAAGCAGCCAGGTCGTCAAGAACCGACTGCTCTGCTTTCCCCACCCCTTGCTCCCACGGGGGCCCGAAACATGGGACTCCTCCTCGAGCTCCCTGTAACGCGCGGAGCCCTGCCGCCCGCCTGTTCTCCCCGGGGCGGAATCCGCGCCCTTACCCGCGGCGCGTGAATACGAAGGGGGGCACGACTCGGCCTCGCGGCCGCACCAAAGCTTGCTCAGCGACTGCCGACTCCGGGCCTCCGCCCCCCGCCGCCGAGGCGAAGGGCCACAGGCCCCGAGCTTTGGAGCCGCTGGCGCCCATGTCAGGGCCGCCGGCGCATGGCGAGCCCCGCGACCGCTTTGCTCTCACAGGGCCGTCGGCGCCGCCATGCCCTGCCTCGGCCTCCGCTCGCAGGTGCCGCCGCCGGTGCCGCCGCCGCCGCCGCCGCCGCCGTCGCCTTCCGCAGGCTCCGCTGTCTCCACGGAAACCTCACTTCCGCTTCCGCATGCTGCTCACGATGCCTTCTCTGATTGGCTGCTTCTCTCGTCGGTCCGCGGGGCGGGACCAATAGCCGCTGTCAGAAGCTAGGCATCCCAGCAGGCACCGCGAAACGTCAGGTCCCAGCAGGCCAGGCTCTCCCCAGCTGGGACAGCTCCCACCCAGTGAAGTGGAGGTTGTGTCCTGCTTTCTTCATGTGTGGCGTCTCCGACGTCCCCGACCCCGAGAGGTCAGGTCCAGCGGGCCTGCCCAACCACCAGCCTCCCCGCAACCAGCACTTTAGGGCTGCCCCAGGCCAGGCCGTGCATTGCCCACCTGGCCTTATTTTATTCCCACAGTTTCTGCGATCACCACTGTTGCATGTAGAGGAGAAACCAAACCTAAGGATAATGAACTAATTGGCCAAATGTATAGCTACGTTCAGTCTGAAGAACTTTGGATTCAGTGTTCTTTCCAAACCCAGTAGAAGGCATACTTCATGAAGGCCAAGAATTTAACAGCTAGACCTTCGATGCCATGAGCAGTGTCTGGTCGTGGTCCACAGTAGTAGCTCAGTAAATATTTGGTGAAAACGCCTCTCACAGCTTGGGGTGTGTGTGTGTGTGTGTGTTGGGAGGGGTGTGGGTTCCCTAAATTCTAGCTTATATTCTTGCCTGTACCACGACCTGAGACCCCATGGTGCTGCATGATGACAGTACATATTTGTACCCCACATGCTTCACAAACTGGTCACATGGTGACTTTTAAAAGGTGCTCTGTGAGCCTGTCCATCACCCTTGGCAGCCACTGGCATGAGGGCAACTTCAGTTGAGGGCCCATAATAAAGACTTCAAAAGCAGAATTCTTAAATCTTTATTCAGCCAATTCTCTCAGGCCCCAGGCCCTGATGATGACTGTCACCCCCACCCCCTTCCCCACAGGAGGCATGCAGCTGAGGCCACGAAATATATCATACATTCGCACACATCATCAAAAATAACTGAGGGAAAGACCCTCGCTTTGATTGGCAAAGAAGGCACAGACCTGACCAGTGCCCACACTCACACAGACCCTGGCCTAGGGACATCCTCCTTGGAGGAGGCACTGAGGCACTGTTGCTGCAACATGAGCCAACATTCCCTGACCCCAGTGTGTGTGAGGAGTCAGAAGCCACTGTAGAGGGAAACCTAGACTCTTCCCCCACGCCTGCCTTATCTTGAACACCCGCCCTTGGCTCCGACTGTCCTGACACCCCATCCGAGACCCAAAACATATGACCTTTCCCCATAGAGGAGGGCCCTTATCCCTGCAAACATGACCCTATTCTGTTTGTGGGGTCTCCCAAGATTCTGGTATCTGAGACACGAATTAAGGAGACTTAATTCTGCTCTATCCCTGCTGCAAGCCTGGAGCAGCTTCCTGGGGCAACCCTGGCCCACCATGACCCACTACACGAAGGGCAGAAGGGTGCAGAGCCATGCTCTGCTACACCTACGGGTGGACACAGGGGGCCAGCTCCTTTGCTGTCTCTGGGCTCATTCCCCCAGTAAGAGACGACCTCCATGCACACTCATTCTTCAGGCCACATGGGCCCTGTCACACTCACACGGCACGCCCTCGGCGCTGCCTACTCTCCTCCTTTCCCCCGGGGGTACAAGAGGTCACCCCAGGGGGCAGGCGTGCAGGGCCTCCTGGATCTTCTGACGGCAATAGGAGTACTTTTGCAGGATCTGGCGGAGGTGTTCCTCTTCCTCCCGCTGCAGGATGCGCAGGAAGTTGTGTAGCTCAGGCAGGCTGAAGGCATGCCACTGCAGGGGGAGAGGAGGGAAACAGGCTGCAACAGGCATGGCCAAACCAGCAGGCCCTGCCAGCGAAGAGCAGCAGTCACGTCACACAGCTAGGATGGGGCTTTCTAATGTTAGGTTCTTGCCTGAATGGCCCGTGCTAGGATTCTTGACAATAGTCTGTATAGAAGACGGGCCCCATAAAGTAGGGCAGTCACCTCGAAGACAGGCAACCAAACCAGATGTTCCCCAGTTACCTGTGGACAGGTTATGCCCACACTCTGAGTTTAACACTACTCCACAGACCCAATACTTTGAAGCCAGAAAGCTTCTAGGTAAAAAGTCATAATGGTTGAACGGGAGCCTGCCTGACAGTGTGGGCCCATCTGTGTGCTTTGATCTGGCTTAGAATCACCATACTATCAGATGGATTCCTGCATCTCCTGAAGAATCTCCACAACAGAAAAGAGTAGACCACCAAGACAATTCTGGGCATCTTGGGACAGGCCCATGACCTTGGCTTGAGTGGCCTGGAAGGCTTCACTGTAGCTACAAGATTCACATACTCCTGAAGAGGCTTTGCAGGGCTTTTTCTCCGGCCCTATTCCTCCTTCCAACTTTACTGCAGCTGTGACCCACTAGCCTTACCCAGTGACAACCAAGAAGCAAAAGAGGGCGTGTACTCACATTCACCTCCCCAGAGTCATTCTCCTTGAGGACAAAGCTTAGGGCCTTCTCGCTAGGCCCTGCAAGGAGCCGCAGCCGCAGGGGCTGCTCATCATCTGACAGCTTCCGGAGGTACACTGAGGGCCAGGCAGGGAGAAGAAAGTATTTGATTAGAGTCAGGCCCAGCCCACTTAGCTCCTTACACATGGAGCATGCATATATACCCTCATACGTGGTGGGGTGGGAAGCCCACCTTGGCCATGGCGTTCAGCCCGCTCAAAGAGGGCAAACTTGCGGGGGTCATCCACCACCAAGAATTTGCGAAGTAGGGCCTCAATGACCTCACGTGCCCGCGTGCGTGACAACACATGCAGGTGCTTGACAGCATCCTTGGGCAGGTAGAAGGAGGTACGGCGCCTCACAGCAGTGCCCCGCCCTGGGCCCCGCCTGGCATCCTGCAAGGAGGGTGGCTTCTTGCTGGAGGGCACTGAGACAGGGCGCACCAGCTTCAGTTGAACCTTGATGAAGCCTGTGTAGGAGCCATCCTTGTTCTGAAGAGGAGAAACCAAACCATGACTACGTTCCAGGTGAGATGGAACAGATTTAGACACCGCTAGTCCACTTGGGGCTAGGCTAGGTGTAAATAAATCACTGCTTAGGCCCACCTAAGAATACCTCAGCTGTAGCCTCTCCCCACACCCCCTTCCCCAGGCTGTCAACTCACCAGGCTCATGAAGAGGTTGCTGTTGATCTGGCTATTGTACTCCTTGATCTTCTGTTCAATCTCAGCCTGAGAAAGGTCAGGTGTCTCCCACTCCACAGGTTCGTCCTGAAAGATGGGCCAGCATGGACATAGGGTCCTAAAAGAACCCATCCCACTGCAATGCATGTCACAGACGGGGAGGTGAGTTTGGGTGGGCCAATTTGAAAAACAGCCTCTGGGGCAGCCTTTGGGAACTGCCTACAAAGCTTGAGTCCTGATGAGAAGAACCCACCATTGCTCCTGGTTTTGCATGCAATGGATGGGCACAGCAAAGGCAGAGTCATCTGGCTTCTTTATGCTGCCTACATGGGGCCTCCTCAGCACTGGGTGGAGCCCTAAAGATACCTTAAAACCAAGACAACTGAAGATACAAGGCCAGGGGCCAGGAAAAGATGTGGGATTCTTATTGACAGTAAAAGCACCTTTCAACTGCACATCCTGATTCCAGCACCCTAGTTAGGTGGGGTCAGGGGTGTCCTGGAGAAGGGGGACCACTTTGCCAGTCTGCCCCGGCAGAGGGCCATGACCACAGGGTAAGAGGTGTGGCACTGGTGCACACCAGGAGCCCAGCCAGCTATGGGTATGAGGGTAAGGGCAACCTCTACAATGTTAGCACCCTCTGGTGAGGGATTTGGGGCCAGCCCTGTATGTCTCACACGTAGGGAGGAAACCACTGTGACATGCCATTTGATCTTGACCCAAGCTGTACAAAAGGCAGCTTCAGGCCAGGCTCCAATTCTGCCTCCTGGTAGAGCCGGTCCCACAAGTGCCAAGCAGGTAGGATTCTGCACTTCCTCCCTCCTATCTGGAGGTTTAGCCCAAAGATTTTTTGCTCTACCACTCAGCCCATTCCCCGCTCCTCCAGGGGCTGGATTCTTGTCGGAAGGGTGGAGTATGGACCAGGGCAGCTGGGGCTCTGAATTAACATTTTTCTGTCAAACTCCCTGGTTCCATTGCATCAGCCTTACTTCCTGTTGACGTCAGGCCCTGGTTGGAATGGGAGTGTCACAGACACAGCTGAGATCACTGCTGACCAACGCTTTGTCCCAGGGGAATTCTTACCAGCTGGTCCCCTGCAGAATAATCTGTGTCCAGCCCTGAGCCCAGGAGAGGCAGGCTTCTCCCTGATTGCTGCCTTGGGGCCCCTAAGCTTAAACAATCTGATGGGGATGAATAAGGACGACAGATGAGAGGGTAGGGTGCTCTTCACCTAGACAGCTTTTTAGCAGTATGCTCTTTACCTAGAACCTGCTAGTAAGTATGTGGCACTGAAGACTGAGGTTGGGGCCTCACAGGGAAAAGGTATTGGGGGAGGTGTGGGAACTGAAGCCTATTTGCTCCCCCAAGTTTCAAAAAAATCTCCTGGAGGAGAGCACTAAGAAGTGAAAACTCCAGCAGAAATCTTTCTGGGGGCAGGGAGGAACCCTCCAAGAGTAGTAAAGAACAAATGTGTGGGCCCTGGGAAATGGGAGATCTGGCAGGTAAAATGAAGGCTGGGGCCTGGGAATAAGGGGTGGTTGTGTTGGAAGGAGTGATCCGATAGGAAGGAGGACCAGGATGGGAGTGCTACGGGGCAGGAGGAAAGTTGAACAAACTCTAGTACCAGGGCAAGAAGGAAGAGAATTCTGTTTACAGAACGGTGGGCACAGAGATGGTACCAACTTATTTCCCTTCCTTGGATGGTTCTGAGCTCCAGCCTGAGGATGAGAACACTTGCTCCTTCCTCATTCCTTCCCTGGTCACCCAGGAGCCCTGGACTGGGGTGCAGTCATTTATGTTCCAGTCTCTTCCCCTCTCCAGGTGAACCTCCCTTGTGGTTTTTGTTGTTGTTTTTCTTTTTTATTCTTTTTTTTTTTTTTTTTTGCCTCCCTTAGTATCTTTACTCATAAAACAAGGGGCTGGACTGGAGGCACTGCACTGTCCTGCCAGGATTCTAAAAGAAAAAAAAAAGTTTTTTTCTGGAGGATTCCAACAGCCATCCCAGAGGTGTGCACAGCAGGACCATGGAATTTCCCTTCTCCTGAACTATAGTGACCCACCCTCCACTCTGCCACTGTCCATAGTGACTGATGGTTTTTATTTTACATACAATTGGGGACTCCCCTTCACTTGGTTAGTGTCTTGTGGTTTTCTCACTATTCCACAATGGAAAATGGCTCAAGCCTGAGGGACAGACAGTCCCAGGGATCTACACTCAAACCTTGCACCTAACTCTGGGCTGAACTTTTGAGTAAAATTTAATCTAAAGACTATAAAATTTTCATCTAAAGAATCACCCACGGGGCGCCTGGGTGGCTC